AAACAAAGTCCAGTTGCCTTGTGAAAGAGCACTTTTGGGACAATGAATAGAAATCCAAACTTGATTTAGATCACAACACACTGTTCATTCCAAAGCAGTTCACAGTGAAAGGCACAAAATGTTTATTACAAGATGTGGTGCTTTTTGTTTATTTTTGGTAAGATTAAAAATTAATAAAAGATTATGTAGTTAAGGCATCAGGTTAGAAACTGGGAGACCATGAACCCTAGTCCCATCTTCGGCAAAAGGCCAGTTGGGGTCATCTTGGGCCAATCACTGTGTGTCAGCCTTTGGAAGGACAAAAAGGCCAGTTCTAAAAAACAAACTTTGCCATGAAAAGTGCAGAGACTTGTCCAGGCAGCCACCAGGAGTCAAGACTGACTTAAGGTTACCTCTGCCTAAAAAAAAAGGTTAAAAATAGGCTTCGTTCCAGTTCCATCCATTAAAAGGTCCAAAAAATCCTGTTTCTTTTTATGGAACATAAGATTATGTGGCTACAATAATGGCATTGGCTTAAAAATGTAGACAATTATGCAATTTATTTATTTATTTACAAATATTTATATGCCGCCCAATCCCAAAGGACTCAGGGCGGCGTACAAGGTTAAAAACAGTCATAAAAGAATAAAATAATCCAGTCAATTATGCCTCAAATGTCTTTCATCCATGATCAAAACTCTTTCACTGATACCCTGTTCCATCTCTTCTTTATTATTTGTCCCACTTTTTCTCAAATTATTCCCTGATAAGGAGCATGTATCCTATTTTTTAGTTCATGACTCTTCAAGTTACCCAACTGATAATGCAAATGCAACATTTAAAATTGAATATAGCTAAATACAGTAGTTGGACTTAGCTCTCTTTAAAATGTGGCATGCCCATCTGACTGAGGGAGTTAAAAGCTGCTTTTTTGGCTAAAAGAATCATGAGGGAAAACCATCTGAGTACTTCAAGCTGAACATTAAACTTTAACTGCAATAAATAATATAATATATTTATAGGGTTGAATTCAAAGAAGCACACATAGAATGAAACAACAACTAATTCAAGAGGTTCCATGATAATTCACACAATATTATAAAAGGAGGTTTTCACAGTAGTTCGTACCTTTCTGCTAGTATACAAGGTTTCACCCTGTCTTTCCTAAATCAAGGAACATATTTATGTTTCATCTTGGTTTTTTTCTGAATCAGTGCTCTGCATAATATGCAAAATATATTATGAATAGAAGACAGCTCCTGTCAGAATATGAGCATCTTTTGGATTTAATCAGTTCTGAGACTTTTATCTTTCTTTTGTTTAAATATTAGGGTTCACTGAATATTCATGAAAATCATCATTCTACTGTATATTGATGTTATTTTCTGTTTGGAGAAGTCATGTGTACAGTATTTATGAATAAGACTGATATGATTACAATCTGGTGCATTTTAATTGTTAATGAAAGTAGTTAGCAAAATGGGTCACAATGGGGGTTCCTATGTTGTGCGAATAGGAAAACTTAATCAATTAACCAAAGCAATTAATCCTAATGGGTCTATGTGGGACTATTGTAGTTTTTAGTCTCTCCTGAGGCCATTTGAGAATAACAGAATAATAGAGTTGGAAGGGACCTTGGAGGTCTTCTAGTTAAACCCTTGCTTAATCAGGAAACCCTATACCATTTCAGACAAATTGTTGTCCAATCTCTTCTTCAAAATCTCCAGTGTTGGAGCATCCACAATTTCTGGAAGCAAGTTGTTCCATTGATTAATTGTTCTAATTGTCAGGAAATGTCTCCTTAGTTCTAGGTTGGCTCTCCTTCTTGATTACTTTCCATCCATTGCTTCTTGTCTTGCCTTCTGGTGCTTTGGAGAATAGGTTGATCAAGAGGTATAGCCCTTAAATTTGTGTGACATCAGCTGCAGTCATTCCACTACCATTTTTGTTTTCTCCAGCGTGCATTTGGGTAGATTAAAAATGTAGGAACTAATTTCTTTTGTAGCTTCAGAAGAAAGTCCAGTTACAAAACATTTAAAATCCTAAATAGAACTTCATTAAAAGCACTTGTCTCCCTGCTTGCTTTGATATTACAGTGCTGGAATCAGCTTGTAGCTTTTAAAGACTGAGAAGTCTTTTTGATTGGTGACAGCACCAGTAAAATAATTGCCACTGTAACATTCCATTTTTAGGTGCTCTTATTCACAGTTTCTTACTTTCTTTGACTTATCTTTGATTTTTGTTTGAGCAAGAATAGTTATTTTGTTTAAGATGTATATTTCTGTTTTCTGGAATTATATACAGTTTACTGTATATAATTTTCACTTCCTCAAATTCCGCTTTAGGTGGGAATATTTACATTATAAAATTTATGTTTAGGCTTGAACACATTTAATAGATATTCATATTACATGAGTGGATAGTAGAAAAACTGATGTAAGTTCAATTTGTCCATTCTGATTTTGTTATCAGACACATACTTGTGTACAAATTCCTAGTCAAGAAAGTGTTCCTTAAGTAAGCTGATTACAGTTTTTCATTCAGTAGGGCCACTGATTAGTGTTATGTGGGTTGTTTTTCCATCTTTGTGCTAACCTTTGTTGATCAAGCAAGCAGATTAGAGTTAAACAGTTTTTATTTATTTATTAGATACAAATCCTGCTGTGAGTGTTACTTGGTCTGCTAGGCAGGATAGGAATTTAATGGATAAAGATGTACAAATAATTAAGAAGAATACACTTTTCAAGGAAGCCTGAATTTAAGGGAATTAAATGTTCTTTCCTTTTTTATTCGCTAACTAACCTTACAGATTCGTAGATCCATCCACTGCTATGTTTGATAGAAATTTATATATTTTTACCATTCCCAGTCTTGGACAGCTGGCAAGGCAGAGGTTTCCAAGCAGAATCACTGCTGATATGTGTTGGGTTTTGCTTTGTTTTGTTTTGTGCCTTCAAGTCGGTTTTTGATACCTAACAAATGCCTGGATAAGTTCCTGCAGCTTTTTGTAGAAAGTGGTTTGCCACTGACTTTTTTCTAGTGCTGAAAGAGAATTATTGGTTCACAGCTACTCAGCTGGCTTTGTGCCTAAGGCAGTACTAGAACTCACAGCCTCCTGGTTTCTCTCAGTTTTTAGCCTGATGCCTTAACCACTACACTAAACTGGCTCTGTGATATGCACCTTTGATCTACTTTTGAATAAAGCCCTTTATACATTGTAGAGAGCAGCAAGTGGTTTGATTTCTCTGCTACTGAATTCAGTACAGCACCATTTTGGCTGGCTACTAAAATTCTATCAACTGTAATCCAAGTGTCAACCTTCTGAGATAGGCCAGGCAAGAAAAAAAATCTTGCAGGGACTCCTGGAATGCTTCTTTATTATTGTATTAACAGTATTGTAAAAACTGTAGTTGTACCTTTTTAAAGACAATAAGGTCAAGATACTGTTGTTCTGAGTTAACAACAACAACAACAACAACAACAATAATAATAATAATAATAATAATAATAATAATAAAGTTGGAATGAAGATCATCTAGTCCAACCCCCTGCTCAGATAGGACATCATTTCAGACAAATGGCTGTCCAGTCTCTTTTTAAAAACTTCCAGTGTTGGAGCATTCACAGCTTCTGGAGGCAGGTTGTTCCACTGGTTAATTGTTCTCACTGTCAGGAAATTTCTCTCCCATATTTTTTATTTCACCAGAGGTGAGGAACCATTTCATCTTTCCCCCTTTTAAAGTCCCGAGTTAAATTCTTCTATAAACAACTTAGCTACCACACTCTATTGTCATCAGAATTACTTTTGTCTTATCATAATCCAGACTTTTACAGCCCAAATACTGTGATTTTGTATTGTCTGTAAGTCATCCATTGATGTGGTTTGCACTCACATTTGTAACCACAGAAAAACACAATTGGAAAAAGGAAAGGTTTGGAATTAGCAAATACTGTCCTATTAAAAAGAAGTCCTTCCAAGCTGAGTAAATGTCTTAGATAATCACAGCAGAGCCATTTATCTGGCAATCTGCAGCCTCCTTGACTTCTTATGCATCACTAAATCTCCCGGGAAGATATGTTTTTTCCTACTGGTGTTGTGCATATTCAGAATTGTGAGCAGCCGAGGAGGCTTCAGTGTGATGGAATGCTCTGGAACAGAAACAAGAAAACAATATTAGTTTCCTCTACCTTTTACAGTATGAAAAATAAATGGTCAAACACTCCAGGAACAAAGTAGAAAAACACGACCTTTTCATATGAGCAATTAAGTAATTGCTAGACTGATTTTGACACGGCATTATCTGAGATGATAATTACAGGTAGTCCTCAACTTATCACCACAATTGAGCCAAACATTTCTGTTGCTAAGTGGACAATTGTTAAGTGAATTTTGCCCCAGTTTATGACCACAGTTGTTAAGTGAATCACTGCAGTTGTTAAGTTAATAACATAATTGTTAAGTGAATCTGGCTTCCCCATTGACTTTGTTTGTGAGAAGGTGGCAAAAGGGGATCACTTGACCCTGGTACATGGCAACGGTCATAAATATGAACCAGTTGCTAAGCATTTGAATTTTGATCACATGACCCTGGGGATGCTTCAATGGTCATAAGTGTGAAAAACAATCATAAGTCATTTTTTTCAGTGCTATTGTAACTTTGAACAGACTCTAAATGAACTGTTGTAAGTTGAGGACCACCTGAACTAAAAATAAATGGTCAAATAAGAGGAACAAAGTAGAAAAACAATCTTTTCATATGAAATGAAAAGTTGTAAGGAATTGCTAAATTGAATTTGACACAGCATTATCTGAGAGGATAATACACAACAGATCACCTCTACCGTGGAGTTTGATTGAAACTGACAACATTGGCATAGTTTTTCAATTATTATTTCAAGAAATTTTTCACCTACGGCAGTTTGCACTGAATCTTATAACACACCATGTATAATCTTATAAGCATATCATGTATAATATACTATCCTCAGAATGGAATTGATTCTCTTTGTTTTAAATGCAGTTACTTTGAACTGGAAAGCAGCGGCCTGAGAGATGAAATAAGGTATCACTACAGATTTAACGGAAAGACAAGAACAGAAGTATTTCCCTATCGGCTAGCAGATGGACAATGGCATAAAATTGCATTGTCCCTCAGTGCATCCCACCTCCTGCTTCATGTGGACTGCAATAGGTAAGCCGTTCTTCATCAGTTTTGCCCTCCCTGCCATCTCCCGTGAGTAATGCCTGCTCCCTCAACATAAAACTTTGTGCTGCTGGATAAAATTTGAAATGGAGTTTTATATGCTCCAAAATGTCAATTGAATATTTGAGTGAAAAGAGAAAATGGCATGATAATTAAATAGCAAACCTCTAGTTGCTAATTTTGGAGTGGTGGAAAGGTATTCATGTATTGCATCATTCTCTAGGTATCAGTTGAAATGCAATGCACTGTATAGTCTATTTTTTTCTCGAGAAGGCTTCTCCCAGCATGCATCTAATATCTGAAAGTGTAATTGTAGCTTCTAATTTCTTTTCATGTAATAAGTGCCTTAAAATATTCTTTAAATTCATTTTCAAACAAGACATTTGAAAAGAAAAGAATAGAAAAGAATGAGGACACGCCTAAATCCTTTTTTATACTTTGTAAGAAGCCAAATCTGAATACTGTAGCTCTACTTTTTTTTAGATAGAAAGCAAATCATATATTGTAGCTTTACTTTTTTCTTAGAAAGCAAATCATATACTTGATATTGTAACATTTATTTGTAAATAATAACATGAGGCTGATATAGAAGTGGAGAAAGAGTATGGAACCTAGACTTAAGTAATGTTAACTAAAGACTTTTTCTCTTAGTACCTTTGAGCAGGTACTTTTTTATATGTGAAAACATAATTTTAATGCATTAGGTTTTGTTCTTATTTTGAAAACTTAGCAGTTGTTTGCTTAAAAATATTTAATATTTAAAGTTGTTGCCTGAAGATTTACTTGAGCTGGCATAATGAAATGAGAAAAATATCTGCAGGATCTGTAAAGTATAATCTTTAATAAAAGTATTGGTTAAAAAAAGAGAAAAAGATTTGCAGGGAGAAATTCCTGATATACACCCTGTGTTATTATTCAAAGGTTATCAATTTCCTTTTAAGAAAGAAACATAGAAGTATGTCTTACACATTTTTATTGACAGATATCATAACGGAAATGGTTAATTCTTCAAACCCAGAGTTTATTCATGTATATATTCAAGTTATAATTATATGGAGGTTATTTGCCTGAATAAAAGAATAGCTAATTGTTGAACATTCTGACTGATATTTATTTCTTGAACAGTGAAGAAATTGTTTTTAGTTGACATATATATGACCCACCAGGTGCGCTAAGTTTTTATTGGCAAAATATTAGAAATATGTTTTTTACATTAGAGTGCTTTAATGGCTTATTATAATAGAAAATTATAATATGTGCTTCTTTTGAATATGCTTATCAAAGATCACTAGTTCATATGGAAAATGATGGTTGGAGTTTAACCATACTACACAAACATAATTGTAGAGTATAAATAATAGAATATCTACAGTTCGTATTCCACAACATATGTAATTGGGTTATTTGGATTAGTGTACTAATGGGATACCAAAAAGGGCTTAATTAATGTCATTTAACCACAAAGAGTTAAATATAAATCAAAACAGGCCCAATCATGTACAAGGTTAAATAACTCCATATAATTATATAAGTCACTTGACCAGTTTTTTGCAAACTAGTCTGAGAAAACCAGCTGAAGAAAAGGAAGGTATGAAAGGAAGCCTTTATCTGGGTGGGTTTTTTTTTCTTTTTGAAGAAGTGGATGTATATTTTGCAATGTTCAGTTTTTCTTTCCATCAAAATGCAGAACTCCATCATAACGTGGCTGCCTCCACTTCCCCCCTAAGAGTTCCAACAATTTTTGCTTTCTCAGCTGAATCTTCCCAACTGTTATTCTTGAGGTTCCTTTGAAGCCTTCTTTGCTCTCCAAAGGACTAAGTTGTCAGAAAAACAATGTCTGTCAAGAATTTCCTGGAAAGACCATGGCAGAGAGAGTTTATTTTCCAGCTGATATTAGCATAATAAAACACCACTGTAACTTTATACCTCTTTGAACCATCTGACATTTGTGTTTGGAAGGCTTCATCTATATCTTCTTGGTGATCTGAGATAAAGGCTCCAGAAGAAGCATTGATTTTATTTGTTTCTCTACTTATTTTAACCCAGGTGTTCTCTACATTAATGTTCACTTAAATTTCTGAGCAGGAATGAATATTTTAAATATACAGTTCAACTAATTTTTCCACTTTCTGTTGCTTCTTTTCTTTTATACAAATGCTATCCTTCAATTGCTATGTTTCATTCATGGAAATCATGTCACCGTGTATTCATTACTCAATCATATTTGTTTTCTTATACTAACAGCTCAACAAGACAAACAAGATATTACTTACAATGCAGATATGCTTTGCTTTAAAGTAAGCAAGCAAACAATATCCAGCATACAATGTGTATACTAGATTTTTGACTGTAGGGTCAGGGAAGAAGGTGAAGTAACCTGATTAGAACTCTGATCCTGGTAAGCTTTTAATACAAAAAAAGCTTTAAATATGTCAGTGGATAGCATTCACAAGAAACCTCTACTGCTGTTGCTCTTTTAACTTGGAAAATTTCATGCCCACGATGATATTCAGATGTTCACAAGTGTAGCCAGTCTTAACATTTATCTTCTTTATTTTTAAATTTTTCTTACTTTAAGTATTGTGAACATTCTGACTTGACCTCACAGCCAGAGAATTTTATCTTGATCCTGAGCTTGTGTTCTTAGTATATATTCTGCCATGATAATAAGATAGCAATTGTGGCCAGGGGTCCTTTGCATAATTGCCTATTGCATGCTAATTGTGTCTATACCTGTATTGGAAGGCCTTGCTTATTGTTATTCAAACCTTAGTTACCTCCTGATTGGATTGTTGTAATGTGCAGCACAGAGGGCTGCAGTCATGGTTCTGATAGATGAGACCAGTAGAAATAAGAACTCCGAAGCAATTGCTTTTCTCAAAGAACCCATTTAATGGCTACATAGTATTGGCACGAACAAAGGTGAAACCAAGTCTGAGGTTCCCACCCTCTGGTTACAAAGTTTCAAGTTGAACTTCCCATCCCTGCAATGTGTCATAAATCACAATCCCCAATTAATTGCTTTGGTGGGCTGAAGCTTCTGTTAGAGTGCCTGCCAAAAGTTAGATTGAGTGATCTTGGTTCACACAGAATACTTCTTGTTGCATCTAAGATAAGAGAATACCTCTTTCCCCTCCCATCACTGTGGCAACCAAGAGCAAAGTGAAGATGACTACGACCAGATCTATAGGATAGTTGACAGCTGCCCTTGAAGACTGTCTGCCAGCTTCAGTTGGTTTGGAATACAACATAAGTCATCATGGGTATAGTTCATTATACCCATGTAGAATGCAGCACAGGTCATTATGTGTGCTACTCATTGCACCTATGTATGCATTAGCTCATATCAAACTTCTAGATGTGATTCAAAATGCAGGTTATCTTGAAAGCCCAAGAAGGCATAGACCAGCTTTTTTTCCAAGAATATCTGTTGGTCCTCATGCTCCCATAATATTAGCCTGCTCCAGTTTTCTCCTTTTTAAAACATTGTTACAATGTTCAAAACATTGTTATAATAAACATGGAACTTAGGAAGCAGTATGCCTCTATTCTCCAAGATCATTTCCTCCTGCTATAGGAGAGGTCCTAATTATGCTTGTCTTTGGAAAAAGAGCCAAAGGTCTATAGCTTGGCAGTTCGAGACTCAAGTGCTGTGAGAAGGAGTGAGCTCCTATCACTTGTCCCAGCTCCTGGCAACCTCACAATTTGAAAGCATGCAAATACAAGTAGATGAATAGGGACCATATATAAGGATGCGGGAAGGTAACAGCATTCCGTGTTTTGCCATCCATTTGTGCTGCAGCATGATGACTGCAGAAACTCTCCAGACAATGCTGGCTCTTTGGCTTAAGAAATGGAGGTGAGCACCAGCCCTAAAGTCGATCACAACTAGCAGGGTAAAACTCATGGGAACACCTTTACTTTGTTTTACTTTTGGAAAAGCAGTTAGGACTTGGATTTTTCCCTTGGCATTTGGGTCAGTTGTGTAGAGACCTTTTTTGGTTGTTTACTTATGCAATTTGGTCGACATTTTATACATAGGTCATTCTTTTGCAATGATATATGTTTGTTTATGTTTATTTCCGTTATATACTGCTCAGAAGCATATTGAGTAGGGCAGCTTATAAACCCAATAAGTAAGTGAACAGACAAACGTAACTTATCATATGCATTTTAGTATGGGGAAATGGCTATAGCCTAACAAATGTATATTTCCCTAAAAATTTCTTTAATAGGACGTAAACAAGAATACCATTTTAAAGATATGTCTGGTGATTCAACCTGAGATCTGATGAAGTAAAAAATGGAGATATGGTAGAACATGAAATAATGCAACTTAGAAAGTGGCTGTGGTAACCCAATATACATGGATCCTTGAAGCCATATTTTTTTGAAGGAACCCCTCCAGTGAAGATTCCCCTGCTTTTTATCTCTTCATGATTCTGGTACCCCAAGAATTGTGGCAGTAATATTCTTGGACAAAACTTAGATCTAACAGTGTATTTCCATTTAGCAAAAGATTCCATTAATCAGTTGATTTTGGAGAAAGAATAACAGAAATAATAGTAATAGAACATCATACCCCATTTTGATATTAAATACTTCTAAACTGAGAGCAGGCATATTCAATAGAGCCCCTGATGCTAATGACTGATTGAATGGCATAACCACTTTTAATACTGGAAGGACCAATTTCTGCCTTGTTAATTGATCAGTGCATTATTTTTTGTGCTCTAGTGACAAGGTTGCACTGTAATTGTTGAGGAACCTTTCCATCTCTGACTTAACTGCAACCTGCTTCTTGTTCTATTTCTTTACCAGATCAGGAGAGAGAAATTGCTGGCAGATAGATGAAACTGATTAAAACATGTTTCACTTGATAAGTCCATAGTCCTCACCACATTATTCTTCTGACAAGATTTTGTACTTGGTATGTGTGGGAGTAGGGCTGAGTAGTGCTTGGGATTCAAAAGCACGAAGAGGTTTTG